GAGGACGAGTCAAAAGGGCAGACCTCGTTAGTCTCTCCATCACTCCACTGCCCTTCTCAGGCCACTCACTAACCCAGCTGCTGGCTCAGCACTAAAGCACACTCGTCCTGCGTCGTCGTGTCCCAGTGGCCGCCTTACAAGAGGGCTTTTCAGCATAGAGACGACGAGCCAACAGACCGCCTTCCTGTGCTGGAATGCCCACCTGAGTGTTTCCTCTGCAGCCCCAGGTGCAGCACCCTGTAGTGAGCACCACCACATGCCCAGGAGCCTGAGCTGCCTGCAGCAAGACCCTGGAGCTCTGCCAATGCTTGCGCCCTGGTGGAGCCGAGACAGAGAGCAGCCTGCCGTCTCTGAGGATGGAGCTCCGGGTCGCAGAGCTTAGAACCTCAGGCAGGGAGGTTAAATGGATGCTGAGGAGAAGCACAGAGGTCCTAAAGGGATCTGGGACTCTGCAGAGCTTAAAGGCCCCACCCCTGCTGGTGACATAATCACTAGGTCGCTTGCATCTTAAGGCCTCACTCTCATTTAGAGAAGCCGGGGTATATATAGTCCTTTGCTTTCAAAATTCATTCTTTATTTGTTTTTGTTTTTTATCATTCTTTATTTGTTTGAGAACCTGCTTTAAAATAGAGAGGCACATGAGAATATACACACTTGCAAGGCTGATCTCAGCCTGGAGAGGCGAAGGAAGCGAAGATGAACTCACTATTAGCCCTTCGTCTCCTTCTGAGTCCCCGAGTGTCTCTTCCTGCTTCTGCGGCCTGTAACCACCAAGCTCACTTCCTCCTGGTTGACTTGTAAGCCTCTCTTTATAAGTAGATGGTACGTAGATGATTCCTAATTGGAGCTGATGTCTTTCATGATTGCTATCATTCTTCACTTCCATAACCTTTTCCCTTCTCACAATACGCTCGCCTTTTTTTTTTTAAGCTTCTACATGAATCTCTAGAGTCCTGGTTCACTTATTTTTGAATTATCATCTGTCTCAGTGGGATGCCAGCTACCTTTACTATCACTGGGACACGGTTAAAATGCATCGCCCAGACGCTGTTGTCAGAGTCTCCTCTCTCGGATCTGATGTTGGTGTGGTGGGTAGTACTGTCAACTTGGAGACATGCCTGTAGCTAGAGTTTTCCTGCCTTGCCCACAGTCAGGACAAATCTTTGTCACTTGCCAGTCCCACAGCCGCTCAGACCCAACCAAGTAAACACAGAGACTTATATTGCTTACAAACTGTATGACCGTAGCAGGCTTCTTGCTAACTGTT